TAAGAAGTTCTTCAGCCTTCAGCTTCTTTCTTGTTATTTTATTTGCTATTCATGCTTGAATGAATTTTCACAGGTGATTTACAATCCTATTTATACAAACGTTTTGGTTTTATTTCTCCTTTAGAAAGGAAGGAAGAATGAAGACCCTTGCAAATATTTTTCTGGGATTTTTCATCTTTGAGGGCATTGTGGCTGCTCCTACCATTGATACACTAACTTATGACTCCGATTTATATGGCATAATACTTGGAGAGTCAGATAATCTATTTGACCACATTGAAAATGAACAATCTGCTCAGGCAGAGGTAATCTGAACTTCATTTATTCTACTTTTCCATATTGCAGAGTATATATAGGTTTCTTCTTCCCCTTTAAGTATTCATAAGTAAGATAGGTCTGGTTTTATTGGTTGGCATGGCATACAATTGAGTCAAAGGTTTTCTATGGAACTTAATATAGCATACTTAATTCATGTTTATGCCTCATCTTCATATGTGGTCCAAGGTCTCTCTCTGATTGCAGTCAATATCTGTCATGATTTTCCCAGGTCTTATAATTTGGCTGCAGTACATTCTGTTGGCTCTCGTAGTGGTATCAGTGTCTTAGTAAGATACCGAGAAGAAGAACAAAATTGGGATAAAACAAAACACACATGGCTTCCCATAAAGCAAGGCAGAAAAACTGCTGTGGTTGTGTATCTATTTTATCCATTGGTATATGATAAATATTTCAGTTCTAGTAGTGAAAAAGAGGTGAAGGTGGGAAGGAAAGGTAAGTGTAATAAGAGGAAAAAAAGAACAGAAGAAAGATCATAAAGTAGACAAACAATGGAAAAAAAAGACTAAACTAGTTATAGTCTGATTCTAGTGTAAGGGCTTAGATGAAACCCCAGTGAGGTAGGATTGACTCATTAGAATGTTTAGAATGAAGGATCATTAATAAATATTAAATTTACAGAATACAAACCTCAAATATGATTTGGGGGCTTTGTTACTTAAAAATACACAATTCATAACATTTATTTCTTCAGTGCTACATGATTTAGAGAGTGACAGAAGCTCTCATTTGTCAGAAGCTGACAAATGCTAGAAGTAACTAGCATTTGGTACCAATATCATAAATATTGGCCTGCAACCGGAGAGCTAAAGAATGAATAGGGCAATTGTAAATAAAACATAAGCCAGATCTTCAGAGAGGGAAAGTAAATGCATCTTCACTGAAGTACGTGCTGAACCCCATCTGCAAATCTGCCCTAACATCATGAACACTTTCATAACTATGCTAATGTATTAAGAGGAAATATGCTGTTCCTTTAAAAATAAGGTGAGAGATTTCTGCTAGCTAACCCAGAAACCCAGCAGACAATAAAAATGTTTGAGCAGGGTTTGCAAACTTTCAAAAATATAAAGTCCACAAGGAGCTGACATGCCTAGGTGAAATGTATGATTAAGCTACAAATTACCAGCTTTCTTTCCATAGAGGCAGTACAATGGTGGAAAGTAAAAAGCTAGATTGGTTGCTTTTTGCTTTTGTACACCTCCTCCATGTACAGTTCCTGTTTACAGATTCATGCCTCGGGTGTCTCTTTCCAGATGAAAGCATGCCTGCTGTCTTTATTTTATGCTGAGTAATATAAATTATGAGGTATGTCTTGCTTAACCTGAACATGGAACCTACACCAAGACTATTGGGTTGGTTCATCAAATTTGAGATGGACAGTTTTCAGCATCTCGTCTCGCCTTCATGATGTTCCAGTTAAACTGTATCTGTCTTATGTACACGGTGATTAGTAAAGGTAAACCTCATGCACTTTGTTCTCTCTGGGATACACCCAAGTAGGCTCCCACCTAACTGGGGGTGGGCCTTTTAAATCAAACTTTCACAATGAAAGACACAAATTTGATGAGTTCCTTCCAAAAATCTGGAAGGAAATACAGGGTTCCCTGTGCAGTCTTTGTTCCCAGTAACTGAAGAGAATAGCCCCTTCAGCTCAGTCTCCTCACATACTTCCTTAAGAAAATAAAAAAGGGGAGGGGTGAATGATAACTCTATTAATTCCTCCTGTCAGTCTCACCCCCAGGGTATACTGTCTCCTCTTACTGAGATCATTCAGTCTTATTTTAAAGTCCTCAAGGGTGCCTGTAGACATGTCAAGAGGCTGCTCTGATGTGTTGTAATTAAAGTGCATCAGAGCAGGCTTGATTAATCAAGTCTCCTGGAGCATGCTAATTAGCTTCAGCCTCTTGGACCATGGAGTTAGCATGCTCCAGCTAATTAGCATGCACCAGCCAGCCTCTGTATCTTGTGCGGGGGGCGCTTTGGTGCGGGGGGCTCTTTAACTAAAGCTTATTCGATGAGCTTTGCTTAAAGCGCTCCCACTGCCATTTTGAAGCATGAGGATGCTGATACATGAGACACTGGTGCTTTCATCTGAGCAGTCCTCGGAGCTGCTCTAATTAAAGCACCTCCTCCCCGTCCCCCCCACAGAGTACTTGTAAAAATGCCCCAAGTTACTAGTCATCAACCATAGCAGCTGAAAGGGAGGTTTTGTAGATTAACAGATCTCCATGTGAGAATTTTTTCCAGAAATCTACCCAGAAATTTCTTTTGCTTCCTTCTAACCTGCATCATCTTGAGAAGGCCTCATCAGTGAAAGGTGTTTGTGTTTTGTACCTTTAATAAATCAAACCACTTTTATGCAGGTGTCTACATTTCTTCACTTCGGTGGGCACATCTACACATACAATTAATGCAGAGCAATACATTCTGGTATGGCAGAGTTTTTTGCTCCTGGGTGTGCTGTTTGAATGTGTGCCTGGGACTGCAGCATGTTGGAGCAGCCCCAGCTAGCAGAGGGCCCTGGGGAGATGTCTGCTAGCCTGGGGCTACTCCTGCCCAGCTCAACGTGCTGTGGAAGGGCTGGCAGGGACATGAGAGTGCTCCATTGTGGGGCTAGCTGGCAAGCAGCCCCCACACTGAAGTACCCTTGTGCCCCAGCCAGCTGGGCACTGGTCTACATATGTACTGCTGCAGCATCTACACATGCATTGCTGCACATGGGTCAGCAGGTCACTATTTACAATTACCAACCCGCTGTGGAGTTTATTAGTTTCCTGAGGCCTAATAGGGCCACATATGTAGATGCCAAGACTTTTACTGCACAGCTAATTAGGTGACTGCATTAAACATCCCATGCAGGCATGCCGAGTTTAAACTGCAAGACCATTACTTAATTCTTAATCTCTACAAACAAAATGCATTTTCTCCTTCTATCACTCTTTTTGGCTATCTGATATGAAATAGGATCCAATTGTATATGATGTTCTGAGCAATATAAATAGTTTTCATTAGAGTAAGAAACCCTTTGATAAACTGGACCCTAGAGGGCACAGTCAAATTAGGGTTTTTTTTTAATTGTATCCAATAGTCCTATAATTGTTATTTATATGCATAAGAACAGACTTACATTAGACCTTTGCAGACTAGAAAAGGAAAGGTATTTAGAGTGCATGAGAGAAACATCAGTTCCATTAAAAAAAGAAGAGAAAAAAAAAGGTGGCAGAAAAAGAATAGCTGATATGTCTCTTTTATGTAAACACATTTAATGTGGAGTCTATGTTGTCTATTAGATGAGTACCCTCTCAAACGTTGTTATTTTTCAAGACATACTAACAATCTATAACCAAATTAAATGAGTCTGAGCACAGATTAAGAGCTGCAAGCTTTGTCTAGGCTTCCCAGTGGAAAGCGTATGGACAGAAGTTTTTGCAACAGCATAAACTCAGAAGCATGAGCCTGCTCCAAGAACTGAGTATTGGAGAAGCTAAGGGACTACCTTATTTTTCTGTCTTTGGGGTTTTGTGGTATAGTTGATTATGGTATGAGTCAGCTCAGCAAGAGGTATCTGTTCATGAAAAGTTCATGAAAAAGAAATAATTTGAGAGGTACGAGAGAAAAGTGGTAAAAAAAGTTGGGGGAGAAGTCATGCGCCCCTTGAAAAATGGTGCTTTTCGCCAGCTTGCTTAGTCTGAAGGGTGAAAGCTGCCTAATGGTGACAAACAACACCTTAAAGAATATTGCCATTTTTTCCCTTCCAATTACAAAACAGTATTCTTCTAAGCTTAAGGAATTTAAACTTAAATTTTTAACTTGGGGGTCCGTGTCTTATGTTCTAGAGATAATTTTTTCCATGTGGAATCTTTCTTTTCTGGTACAAATGAAACTATTGTGGTGTTTTTATGCATTAACAGTGTCTTCATGGACTGTTTTTTCTGACCTACTGGTTTGTTAACCAACTTATGAAGATGTCCCTGATGGAAGCTAGTAGAAGCTAACATGATTGTGCTAATGCAACTTTAAGGTTCACAGAGGTAGAATACTGCAAAGATACACTAGGATACAACCAGGATACTCTGAATAAGTGTTCGATGGCCCCTTTGACTGTATGTGGCATCAGCAGGCAGAGTCCATTTCTTGAAGTGCATTCATCCCGTATCACTGGTTTATGTGAAACACATTATATATTGAAAAATATTGGAAGGAGAGGGTAGCTGAACTTTGTGCTATTCCAGCAGAAAGGTACTGAATTGCAAATTAGCTCCATGCAGCTGCATGCATTAGGTAAGGTCAAATTTTGGCTATGAAAATCAAAACTAGCCTCCAAGCTCAAAGGTGATTGAAATAAGGAGGCCCTACTAAGGGTTTGCAACCAAAGGGAGTTTATTGTTAAAAGAATCTTAAATAAAGAAAAGTGTATCTTGAGTAAAAAAAATGATGTGGCATTTGTAAACAGATCAGTGCCAACCACAGACAACAGGAAAAAAAATATGAAAGAAAATAAACCAAAGAACAAGGAAGAAATACAGAGGTCCTGAAGGAGAAAAAGACTAGGAGGGAGTGTGGCTGAAAGGCAGCTGTCAATTTTTTTTTTTCACAATTTTTCCCCTCACTTAGATAATCACAGTAGTACAAATACGAATTGCAGCATCAGAGCTTTTCCTTAGAGGAGCTTTTATAATTATCTTTAATGAATATTTATATCATGGTAGAGTCCAAATGTTCCAATCAAGACTGGGACTTCATTATACTAGCTACCATACACTAGACACTGTATACAAAGACACTATTCCTTCCCCAGTGGGAGTATATCAAAAGGCCAGATAGTCAAAGGAACTACTGATCTCAGTACACTACTCACCGAGGTAAATAAGTGGCTCAGAAAACTTTCCCACAAAAGGTCTCTTTGAAATGAAAACTTAGTTGGGATGTTCTGAGGAAAACCTTCAAGAACTAGAGACAGATTTTT